GTCAAAAAGGTAATTGAAACCAACCCTAAGCTCTTTTTATCTCTGCCTTAAAGGTAGCCCCGATTATTGCTGACTTAAGCATCGGAGTGTCTACCCCGAGTTCCACCTCGGGGCTTTGCAGGTTACTTCAGAATACAAGCGCGGACTGAAGAAGGACTTCGGGTTTGGTGCAATTACAGTTCTTGAATTTGGTAGTTGCCGTGAGTCTTCCATTTCTGTTCCCCGTCGGCTTCCTTCCCAGCCGAACCCAGTGCTGCTCGCCAGAATTTTCTGGTATGATGGACAGCTTCATTTAAGTCCAAATTTCATCTAATTGGTGGTTGCTTTGCTGAATTTGGTCCTTGTGTGGTTGCCCTGTGATTGTCCGAATGTTGCCAAGGAAAAAAATGGAAGATTTCGGCAGCTTTAATTGTGTTTTTAGTTAATTCATGTAGGAATTAGTTTAATTAGGCTGCTATGATGTTTTGGAGAGAAAAATCCCGTGTGTGTGAGTTGTGGTTTGCCAACCCATGCTCTCCATGTGCTGCCCGTGAGTAAATGGGAAAATTTGATGTGTATTATGCAAATATATAAATGCACAATTGATTTTGTGCTTGATTTTGGATAGAAAAATGAATAAATAAATAAATAGGGTATTATGGGGGCTAATTGCCGGCTAAATTGGGAACGGATTAAATATGTCATTTTATATGGGTATTAATTTTGGAAATATTTTGATTAGGTACTTGATTATCTTGCACCTAGCACTTGGGAAATTCTTCATGGTTTTGTCTCTGATATAGTTATAATTACTGATGCCCGCTAGTGGGGGTTTGTAAACGCCAACACATGTCGACATGTATTTCTGTAGAACCGGTTCACCTTGCCAATGAGGTTAAACATTGGTTATTACTGACGCCTGCCAGTGGGAGTTTGTTAAACACTGGTCATAACTTATAGATGAGACTACTGATGAGATTTATTATGCATGAATGGTTTATCATTAAAAGTTTTGTTATGCTTACATGGTTTATCTGGCATGCTTAAATTTTTATCAAGGGCTGTCCATATTTTTACTTACTGAGATATTTTATCTCACCTCGTTTTTCTTGTCCACCATTTCAGGTAGTGATACCCGACACATAGGGAGCCAGGGGAGTGACGAGCTAGACAGCTAGGCATTATTTTGGATTTAGATTTTTGGGAGTTAAGCCGCTAGTCTCACATGGTTGACTCAAATAACCATTTTTGTGTACAGAGTTTCCTTGGTTATAGCCATGACCATTTATAAACTTTTGTAAATCTGGAATAGTAAATTTTTGGTAATGGAAAGTTAGATTTTACTTGAGTTTTAGATTTGAATTATCCAATTCGGAAATTAAGAACTCAGCAAGTTCTGAGCAATTCATGGATAGAAGATGAAAAGATGGGCATGAGCTGACTTCTTACCAAAAAATTGTCGAAGGAGCACCCATTGAACATTCAACTCACGGACAAGGAAAGAAGGAACAGCCAATAGCAAAATTTTGATTAGAAGAAGAAGAAGTCACATTGTAGAGTGGCTCTGAGGTTGATGGTAGGGTTTGGATTTAGAATGGAAGAAGAGAGGAAAAACCAGGAAAGAAGAAGAGGAAAGCCTGAAAGATGAGAGAAATAGAAAAGGGAATTAGGTTTTCGATTCCTCTTTATTTTTGTCGATCCATCCCCCCCCCCTTTTTTTTTGCCGACATCCCCAAGATGGAAGAATGTGACAACTTGGTCCCCCATTAGAATCCCTTCTCATATTAGTCATCTAACACCTAAATTAAATAAATATATAATTTATTCAATATAAGTGCTAAAAATTTGAGGTATTACATCCACCAATTCTTATAAGGAGTTTTGTCCCCAAAACTCAAGTCTAGGATCATCTAGAATAGTGAATGATTTCACGCAATCTAAGACAAAATAGGCCCATCTTATGACAAACCATCATAGTACCATTACAATGTAGAATCAATCACTTAAATAGGATCAGAATATACTCTAAGCATATATACATGAAAACAACTTGAGAACTTATTAGGTTTTTTAGCAAGCTATGATTTATAAGCTGCCCCACCAACTTTCTATGAACAGAACATGGCCTAATACTCTCCCACTATGCAACATTGATATCACACCACAACTAATCTTAAAAGTAGAATACTAGCTGCTTAGTAAGAATAATCAAGAAACTCATTTGCAAGGAAGGCTTCTAAAGGCTAGGTTGGTACAAAGAACACAAGGAGCAGAAGTAAATCTTGCCAAGGCTACAGAAAAACAATAGCTAAACTATGCTATGAACCCAAAACAAAAATGAGTTGACAAGAAATGGCGTGGAAAGAATTTTAAAGCACTAGCCAAATTGAGATCCAAATCATGGCCTTCAACACAACGACTAGTTTCATGAAATGATAACTCAATATTCTTGAGAGTACTAATGAAAATCGAGGAAAACACCTTAGGGAGAGCCATGTGGAAAAATTTCCCATTGTCACAATAAAATTTTTAGTTAGTAAGGATATGTTCGAGGATGTACCTTAAATTGGGAGTCTAGGAAGATCAAGAAATCAATTCAAAGGAACCATAGAAGATCTAGACCATTCTCATATCAAATTTTGAGTTCCAAAATAACTACCTCTGTGACTAAAATCAGATCCAATAACCTACATTTATTCCAAACCTACGGTAAGACATCAAGAAAACTAAGAGTATCTTGAAGTGGTGTCTCTAGCTTAAGTTTAGGGCCATCATAATATCGACGGTCAAAGAAACAGTACATAACACATTGTAAAAATCAAAAGTAAACCCCTACATTGGGGAAACATACTACACAAACTCCAAGGATTAGGTTTCCACATGATCAGTAAAAGAGTAAGTTCCAAGGTCCAAATATCAATAAAATCAAACAATGTTTGGGCAGAAGAATGGCAGAAACAATAATAACAAGGCTCATCAATCTTACTCTTTTAAGATAAGTACACCTGTTCAAAATCTACTAAAGTCATTAAATTCAGGTGTCACAATTACAAGGAAAACAATTTCAAGATACATGGCTAGCAATTTCGAAGGTACAACAATCAAACCCACTTTATAGGGATGGGTACCCATCGCTGCTCTAATAAGTCAGCAACAAATTAACATCTCCCACCTCCCCAAGACCACGTGGAAAGCGAGAGCAATGTGGTGCCCTTGACCCAAAGTCAAGGTTTGGTACCCATCAAATACAACAACATGGCAAGGAGTAAAGACAAGTACAGTCAAAACTTTGAATCCTATCTGAGATGGATAAGCAACAAATGGATGTATGGGATCATGAATGAATGAATGCATGTATGCCTGTTCAAATGAAAGTCTATATGCATGTATGTGTGTGTATGAATGAATGTCTCTATGTGCATGCATGTATGAACACCTCTGTATGCATGCTGGTATATATGTATATGCTTACGTGTATCTCTGTTTGCATTCATGTATGAATGCCTAAATATATACTTAAACAGATAAACATAAGGTAGAATACCTTATAAATTCCACCACAGAACAAGGTTAACTAATAATCAAGGTCATGTTTAACTAAACAACTGGAATCAAGGGACAAATTTTAGCAATTAGCAAGAGTTAAGATTAGACCCATCAAAAGACATGGGTAAGAATTTCAAAAATAACCACCAACGAAATCAAGGGTAAATGTGAATGCCCTGATGAATACTGGAACAAAAGATTGCAAGATAGAATGCCTCAGAAATTCAACAAAAAAAATGACATTCACCAAGAATCAGGATCAGGTTTACCCAAGAAATCAAAATCAAGAGGCAAGAATTAACCACGAGATAAGCAATAGGATTCAAAAACCAAGCCCACACGGTGGTGTCAATAATGACAACGAGAACAAGGATTCAGAAGCACATATAACCAAGACATCAAGATCTAGTACCTCAAGTAACTAGAATTAATTAACAGAATTAATCAATAATGAGGATCAAGATCCTTAGAAATTAATAATGCATTTATTATGTAGTAGAACAGAATCTAAGCAAGGGAAAAGAACCATTCCTCTAAAACTAAACTCTAGAGAACTAGATACCTTGCTAACAACCTACCTAAAGTGTACTCCATGGAAGCAAGATATTTCTACAATCGAGTCATCTCTAAAATCAAGTTAAGTTAGAGATATCAAGACATTAATATTAGTGTTAGGCTATCTATCCAAGATAAAATAGGGATACTTCTAGATATATCCTTAGAAATCATGACCCCTCCTAAAGACGTGCCAACATGAAACTTAGAAATCAAGAAAATCAACAGATATATTGGTATACAAAAACAGGAACTAGCACAAATTCAAGATTTGAGCAGGAGTAGTATTCAGAATTTAAGCAAGAGGAGGTGTCAAAACAAGAATAGTTTTCAAGGATATTCATAAATTCCAAAAACAAGTATCAATCGATTTTCTACATTAATATAATTGAGACTAGCTTTAAGAACTCCACCAACAACACTAAGAATAATCACCAATTATGCATTCACTTGACCAACATTTCCTTTTATCCAAATATGCTGAAGAAAAATACCTAATTGTAGAGAACCTCCACATCAACCAAAATGAACTCTAATCAAAAGTAATACATAACATCCTTGAAATATAAAATTTTAACATGTAATTTCTCTCAAGCATATACATGCAAAATCTTAACTATTGCTAAACATTAATTCATCAAAAAGCATTAGAATTGCTAACAATTTAAATAGATACTTGAGACCAAAAGAATAGTTAAGAAACAAGGTAAAAGCTAAGATATAACAGGTGGCACACATATCAATTGACAGCATCTTGATATGTCAAAGGCCAATCTCAGAAGAACTTGACCAAATCCAAACAATATAATACAACGTGGTGGATGGTTTAACTAAGCATCTAGATTCTGCAAATGTAGTCAATCCCATTTATTTAGTTTAACATTACCTAACAAGCTATCAATACCCAACAAGCTAGCAATGCCCATGTGAAAAACCAAATGCAAAAATAATACACTGAAGAAAATGACATAACAACAAACAGCATCATCCCAGGTTCCATTGGGGTAAAATCTGCAATCACAAAAATCTAAGGAAATAAATAATATGCTGCATCAAGCCAACAACACCCCATTCATGGAACAAAAATCTTTACCCTATAGCGATCAATCTGTGACTTAAGCACCACCATTCCCAAGAACAACCAAAGGCATTGCAAGCATAGTCAACGACATTCATAAAGTCATCAATATTATGAAATCCACATTCAAGAATCAATTTAAAAACATAAAGACAGTGGAAAAATATATTAGGAAGATAGTGCCATCACATCCAAGTTGCAATTCAACAATGCTTCCCCTAGAACAAATTACTCACATTCCCTTGCACGGAAGGGCGGTAAAACAAACATGAGCCGATGACAAGAAACAAAACCTAAAGAGCTAACAAGAGAAACAAAATTAATGTTGATAGCCCTTAGGTTTAGGACCAAACAATGGGTGGAATAACACAGATGCCATAAATTGAAAGTTGAGCTAGCTTCTTGGATTACAGGTTCCAGACAAGCTTAGAGAAAACAAGCAGACTAAAACTTGTGATTGCAAGGATGGGTTTGCATGGCCTTGGCATTCTAACAAACAAAGTGGTGTGCAACTATAAACAAATTCAATTTTCTCTACAAAAGATAACCACCAATATGCTTCTTTTTATTGCTTTTGGCAAATCTTAAGCAAACAAGTACTACATTACACCATTTGCCACAACAACTAAGAGAAGCATATTTCTCACAATAATATCAGATATTGAGGAGCTAAACCATCAGCTCCCTAATGCAACCAATCAACCATCATGTGTCCACATTCTAACCAAAGGCAAACATCAAATTTGATTACGAAAAATCCATTCAGCTAACATGAAAAATTATAAAAAAGAAACAATCCAACCAATCATACACAACCATTCACATCACAAAAGTGGTCAAAAGTGCCTAGAGTAACTTCTAAGTGGCATACAAACATGGAACTACAACATGTAAAGCCATATCTGTAATACCCAGAATTTTTATTATTGCTATTATTATTTAATTCCTTAAGGATGTGTATGCAATAAGGTGGAAATATGAGGACTTATTTGTATAATGGTGGTAAAGATGAAGGAGTGGCTTGTAAAATGTGCAAAACTTAACTTAGAAATTTAAGAATAGCGTGATTTTTTCTAGAGAACCGGGGAAGGGGCTGTGGGTTTTCCTCACTCAAAAGAGCAGTAAGGTGACTGCACAAATTGGGGGAAAATAGTTGCTAAGTCCATTCAAGGTAAATTTCCTTAGTTTTATAATGATTTCTTGGTTTTAATTTAGGAAGTATCTTGAAATTGTGGAATAGATTTTGGGAAAGGATGGTTCTGTCGAAGAGGGCTTTGGGTTTTATTTGTGTTGTTAAGTTAATGGAAATTGGCTTGTCTAAAGTAGTCTTATGAGGTTGGCTTGCAAGTTTATCATGGTATATTGAATTCTTATTGTGGTTGTCCATTTCTTCTTTGGCAGGGCAGACAAGTGGGAAGCTTTCATGGCTGATGTGTGAAATTTAATGAGTATTTTATTATATCAAAAATTGTAAAAGAGGGAAAGCTGCTTAGTGGGTGTTGAATTGAGTAGGGATTTTTGGAAGTATGTTGATTCATAATTAGAGGCATACAGTGTGTGATACCCCAAAATTTCCTAGGATAAATAAGTGAGTTAGGGACGTGATTGTGGAAAAATATTGTTCTGGGCTTAAGAGCCAAAATATCCAAAGTTGAGGGGCTTAAAAGAGGAGAATTTGGATAAGGATGGCTCCTTTTCTTTTTCTTTTTTTTTCCTTCTTTCTTTCTACTCCAGCCCGCATGTTCTGCTCTTCCCGACCCCCCTGCACCCGAGAGAAAAAAAAAGAAGGGGAACCCAGCCATGCCTTGGGAAACTAGTGAGATAAGCTTGGTTTTCTCCTTCCTTTCTTGTTCTAGAACACACCTAGAACCCAGAAATTTCCCCTCCCCCTGCTGGAATCTCGGATCTGCCTTGCTCTGCTCCTCACCGTTCGGCTGCTCCTCACCGTTCGGCTGCTCCTGCTTTGTGGGTGTGATTTGTTCGGTTTTTTTGGTAAGAAACAGCCATGAATCTCCCTTCTCTAGCTTTGATTGCCTTGGGTTTATGTTAATTGCTCTTATTTCCTTGAATTTTGGGTTAAACCCGTGAGCTTCCCCTGCACTTGCCGCCGGCTTCTCCCCCCTGCTAGGCCCGGTTCTGCTAGCTGCAAATTCTGGTATGTGGCAGCTTCTTTAAGTGCAGATTTTAGCCATTTAATTGTTGCCCTTTGTGTCCGAAATTCTGGATTAATTAGGGGAGAAAATTGATAGCTTTAAGACCATGATTTAGCTTAATTCAAGTGGAATTTATATGATTGAGTGTTAATGGACTGCTATGTGATTTTTGGAGAAAATCCCGTGAGATTAGCTAGTGTTTTGGCCAATTTGTGGGGGTGGAGTTACTGTTCACGTC